GGATGTTTAGAGTTTTTTTTTTTTTTTTCGAGACAGGGTTTCTCTGTGTAGCCCTGGCTGTCCTAGAACTCACTCAGTAGACCAGGCTAGCCTCGAACTCAGAAATCCACCTTCCTCTGCCTCCCAAGTGCTGGGGTTAAAGGTGTGCAGCACCCCTGCCCGGCCTAGATGTTTAGAGTATTATTGCTTGGAGTAACTTGTAACAGCTGGAGAAGAGAAAGAAACAACAGTTGATGCAATGACACTGCCTAGGATTCATTCATCCAGCAGTTCCAGGTATCAACAGCTGTGCTAAAGGCTCCATGTGTATCATCTATGTCAGTCATCTACCCAGTCAGAACCATCCTTTGCATAAATGAAAAACCGAGGCCCAGAATGGTCAAATACCTATCCCCATTTCCAGACCTATGTTCTCAAGCCTGAAAGAGGATGCTTGTTAATCCCAGACACTGCACCACAGGAAATGGCCACGTTCCCAGTGGGATTAAAAAAAAATGCTCACGTCTAGAGGTCCAAAACATAGTTCTGCTGTCTAGAAGTGAACATTGTGGGGCTGGGGAGATGGCTAAGTTAAGGAAGCGCTCTCCGTTCAAGCCTGGGAACATTAGTTTGATCCCCATCAAAGAAGCTGGGTGGGGTGGACTCCTGGGGCTCTCTGGTCACAGCAAGCTCAAGCACCTGTGAGCCATCTTGTCTCAAAAAATAGGGTGGCCAGCTGGTGAGGAAGTGGCAATGGCCCTTAGCTTCCACCCGCGTGGCACATACACAAAGAAAGAACAGATAAATGCTTACGACGGAAACCACAAGCTTCTCCTCCTCCCTATGCTTGTGTGTGAGGAAGCTAGAGATCTCCTGTGGCATGTATCATATTAACAACCCCATATTAATATCCCTTTATTCTTCTAGCAAATTTTTAGTTCTCCACCAGTCCATAGAAATCTGGAGTAAAATGGACACGCTGGAATAGACAACCAATCCTGTTTCCTGAAGTGACAAAGTCCATGAAGTGGAAGAACACGGATGAAGGGCGCCTACTCTGCATGCTCCAGCCAGGGAACACAGCACCCGTGATGGCTGTGAGGCAGGGATAAATACAGTCTCCGCAATTGTGCTTGTGCTTTTAATTCAAAACGCCAATCCCCACTGTGAAGGTTGGACTCGTATGGGACTGAGTATGTTGCACACTATGATGTGCGAGTGTCTGTGTGTCATGAGTGTGACATCTATGTGCATGTGAGTGCAGGTATACATGAATGCCAGAGACAGATTCCTCTGGATCTGGAGATATAGGCACTTATGGGGGGGCGCTTCCTGTTGACATTGGTAGATGAGAATCTCCTGCTTTGAAGAGGAATGGTTTGGTCCTTGAGGAGAAATTATTGCTTCTTTCAAGCTTCAGTTTGGTTATTACACGCGGAGGATCAACTGCTAGTTGTGCTTATCTCCTGGGGGCGTCTGGTGGCCTTCAGACATTGGCCTCTCATTGAGCTGTGCTCCAAACCAATCCATGCCTGCATTCCTAGAGTCTGTGAGTGTTACAGACTCTCTCTGTCTCTGTCTGTCTCTGTCTCTGTCTGTCTCTGTCTGGGTCTGTCTCTCTATGTGTTTCACTCAGCTGATAGTCTGAGTGATTTCAGCCAGTCTCAGAAATGTCTGTACATATGATAAAGGTAACCTGAGGGGGAAAACTGGGGCTTCAAGAAAAGGTGTCCAGGGCTGGAGAGATGAGATGGCTCAGTGGTTAAGAGCACTGACTGCTCTTCCAGAGGTCTTGAGTTCAATTCCCAGCAACCACAAGGTGGCTCACAACCATCTGTCATGGGATCTGATACCCTCTTCTGGTGTGTCTGAAGACAGTTACAGCGTACTCATATACATAAAAATAAATAAATAATATAAAACGAAGAAAAAGGGTCCATACCCTTGGGTCTCAGGTACATTTGGGCAGGTGTAGGGAGCCATCCCAGCAGCCCATTCACCATGGGGCTGAGGACATTTATTCACAGAGAAGAAACTAGGTCTGTGAGCTCTACCCAGGAAAACCTTTGAGCAGCTCAGGAGTGGAATGGAGACCCCCAATCAATCTTCTGTCTTCCTGACCTGTTTGGCTCCTTGGTGGAAGGAGGCGTTTCCTCACAGACCCTCTAACCACGGGAAGCCATGTCTTATCTCACTGCAGGGCTGAGGCAGAGGTGACTGATGAACAGAAGCTGCTGACTGGGAACCTGGCTCTGTAGAGAGATTTCCAGGGCCACAAGAAAAATGCAGTAACAGGTTTAATAAAGACTGGAGGAGGACACCTGATCGACTTCAAGACAGCTAGCTTTCTTCCCCCTGGTGAGTTCTTGAGTTAGACGCAAGAGACCTGGCAGATGTCAGGGCTATCTGTGGGACCACAATCTAGAAAAAAAAAAAAAGTCCCTCAGAGGCTAGTGGCTCCCAGTCAGGTTACATACAATGAACAGATGAGTTGGTAGGGTTGCTTAAGTCAGTAAGGAAAGTCAATTTATTTATGTTCTATTGAAACATAACATTATGTTTATTATTTGAAAACTCAGTGGAAATTATAATTGCTTCTCTCTTGGAGACCAAGTGCTCATTTTACAAAAATGTTCTGATATTTTAGAGCAACTCAAGTGTGTAACTATGAGCCACAGAGGATGCAGGCAACGTTTTCTTTCTCCTCACAGAGATATTGGCTGCCTCAAACACCCACTGGAGTTTTCATGAATAAAACATGGCAAAGCAACAACCAGAGTGTGCAGGGGGGTGGGGGTAGTTTCCCCTGTAGTATGAAAGGAATTAGTGTAGTCAGTAAGAAAGGAAGCTGTGTGTGAAACCTCAGAGCACCACCCAGGGTTTCCACCCAGGGAGGCTGAAGATAGCAGAGACCACAGAATCCTGGTGTGAGAGAGAAGCAGGCCTGAGTCAGGAGGAGGTTGCCACATGGATTTAACCCTTCGACTTCATAGTGTGTCACATGATCTCTTCCATAAAAACCCAGACTCCATAAATACATAATAATAACTAAATAAAATCCCAGAGGCATCCACCTCCAACCAAAGGCAATTTAAAGATGTAAAAGGTCTATATAGCAATATATATAGCAATGAGCCTTTAGTTATGATTGATACCTGAGGTGATCATCTTAGAAAGGAGAAAGGTTTATTCTGGTAGTTGTAGAGGTTGTGGTCTGCGACTAGCTGGTCCTCTGCTGGAGGAAGGAGCAGCAGAGACTTACAGTCAAGTCAGTCCAAACAAGAAATACAGACTGAGAAGGAAAGTTGGTAATTTTGTGTGTTGTGTGGAATGCAAACAGGCACCCATTCACCACATGCCTGTGCTTAGCCGTGTCTTGTCTATTTGGTGTCAGACACTTACAGAAATCATCCGAAGCCTCAGTGCAGATCTGAGGCATGGGAGATACGAGGCACAGCAGGCCACTAGAGCCATTTTGGTTACTTTAACTGATGTGATCATTGATGTAGGATGTCCACGGTGACCACTGGCTTAAGATACCAAACTGAAACAAAACCAGAGCCCACACTAGAGCCACACTACGGTAACACTAGCATTGTGATCTCTTTCTTTTTGTAGGAAGCCTGATTGTGATATTTCTTGGCGTCAAAACCACTGCACTATCTATAGCTGGGCAGCGGTAGGGTAACCTGTTTCTTAAAAGACACACCAGAAGAGAAACTATAAGAAGTTCCTATTTGGTTATCTTTTTTTTTTGATACAAATAAAAATACTTTATATAGTATGCATTTATCCCCCATCAACCCTGAATTAGTACATTAAACAGGTGATAACAGAAATTTAAAAGCCCTGTCTTGATGATACATTCAGAGATAAGGTGAACGGCATCATCTGGCTGTGGAAAACTTCCACAAACATCAGGTTCTTGGGTTTTAAAACGCCAATGCCTCCCAGCAAGGTTGCAAAGAACCGTGAAGAATGACATAAACCACTGAACAGCAAACAATACATGCTGACAGTGGGTTGAGCACCCAGACTTCGGAAGGCTAAAGCATCTTAGGGTCAGAGGGTGCCTGACCTGGACTGCTAACTGAGGTGTGACTAAGGACATGCTGTCTATTCTAAATGTCTTCTCCAACGTATCTTGCCCTGAAACATCCTGTCTTTTGACATGACTAAGCTCAGTGTTGAATACTGATTTTGTTTTTATTCATTTATATGACTTTAAAAAAAAGAATTATTTATGTATATGAGTACTCTGTAGCTGTCTTCAGGTACACCAGAAGAGGGCCTCAGATCCCCATTACAGATGGTTGTGAGCCACCACATGGTTGCTGGGAATTGAACTCAGGACCTCTGGAAGAACAGTCAGTGCTCTTAACCACTGAGCCATCTCTCCAGCCCACTATATTCAACTTCTTATCAAATGAATGGCTATAGCAAAATTGCAATGTCTAAAGGGACTATCTCTCCATTCTTACCTCTGCCACAGTTTTTTTTTTAATTTTTAATTTTTTTTAGATTTACTTTATATATGTGAGTACACTGTCTTCTGACACACCCGAAGAGGGCATCAGATCCCTTTACAGATAGCTGTGAGCCACCATGTGGTTGCTGGGAACTCAGGACTTCTGGAAGAGTAATCAGTGCTCTTAACTGCTGAGCCATCTCTGCAGCCCCACCACAGTGGTTTTAACTGGAGCCTATTTCATCTGTCCAGAAAGACTTCATGAAGAGCCAAAAGGCATGGGAGCAGTGCCATCTGTAAGATGCTGCAACCATGAAAGGCGTTCTGGAAGAGCTAGGTACCTGGAGGAATTGACATCCACGTGTTCATAGTCCTTGTGTGTCATTGGTGGGCTGCCAGAGAAAGCGAGAGCAATCTTAGCCATTCGTGTATCCATCAACATATGGATGTAGGAGTGACTTTCCATAGAGTTCTGGTTGGCCTCCAGTGTCCTAGCTGTTCTCTTTGGACTGCTCCAGACCAGAAACGAAAAACAACAAGAAACTAGAAACAGTTCTAAATCAAAAGTTATGATGACTTTATTTTAAATCTTAATACACCAAAAATATTTTTCAATGTTGTGAGATAAGCACTTGAAAATAAGAATTCCAACACTGTGATTTGCTGTGAGGCTTGGTAGTGAATTTTTCCCTCTGAATATGGGTTTAGGGCCTAAGAAGCAGAATGCCAGTCATTTTCGGAGTAGCAGTGAGAAAAGCCCAGCCCGATCATGCTCAGACCCATACTTCACTGAAACACATTCACACTAGTAGGAGGCACCACCAGGTGACACCTGGATCTTTGTCAAGCAGAAGTCTTAAGTGCCACCAAGCATTGGGAAAATAATATTGTTTAGATGCTAGTGAGTCAGGCTCTTTCTAATGTATCCTAACTGGGTTGCAAACATGGTTGCATCCTTATCCGAGGGAGTAATCAGCTAGGTACTCCAGGAGAACTTGACTATAATTGTTTTGTGGGTGGGTGTGGACAAGTGGTGAGTGACACAGAAGTATCTGGATTTGGCTTTGTCTGACCTGCAATCAAAGTACAGTTTCCAAGACTCCCCCAAACAACCACCCAGAACACTCTAGGCTCTGCACCCACCAGAATGACTCTAGGGACTGTTGTGAGAAAATGGAAGCGTAGGTATCCACCTCTCTGAGAATCCTAGTTTTCAAAGTATCTGGGGATGAGGACAATATTAGATTATACAATGGGCTTTTGGATTTCCTACGATGCTCGGAGTAGGTGGACTTTAATCGGCCGTTTCACCTGTGGTTCCTGCTTTATGGCTCACGTGTGTTTCTAAGCACAGTCTGTCACAACAGGCACTGAGAATTCTGTACAGGCACCAACATCTGTTTTGTGTCCCTATTGGGTACAGAGGATGTTGGCTCAATGACCAACTAGGATGCAGAGCTTCATACTGCGTGTTCACACAGAATAGGATGTCCTTGCTTTATTAGATGCCACTTCAATATGCAGAAGTGACACATGATATGTTGTGAATTCTCACCCAAATCATTATTTGATGGCAGGGACCTCAGGCACCAGGAAATGGGTGCTGTATGTAAGAACAGGGACAGAATTATTTTAAGCTGTAGATCGAATGACTACAGACTCTACTGTTGTCCCAAACTGAGAGCAAAATATTTATTATAAAACAAAGACTGGAAAAAGATGCATTTGAAGGCTGGAAAGCTCTGGACTGTCATGATTTTCTCACAACTGTCCCTCTCTCGCACTGACACTTCCACAAGGAACTGTGTCTAGTCACCAGTCCTGCCAATGCAACTCAAAACCTAGAACTCAAGGGGTGGAGTCTACTCTGTCTCCATTCTCCTAGTACTCGCTTGACACTTAGGCAATCCAATAGTCAGAAGATCCATTACCTATGCCTGGAAAAGGCTCTCAGAATGTGCTAGGGCTGACTTGGTGTCTATCTCTGGTAGTTCCTGAGCAAAAGCTCCTTCTATCAGAACAAGATAGTAACCAGGCACTCCCAGGTAATTGAGCAGCCTGGGAATATAGCCAGATTTCTGGAACATTCTACCCCAGTGTAATGGTGCTTTGTAACTCTGTGATAGGTTTATGTTGCCATGAAGATATAAAACAAACAAACAAACAAAACAACAAATAATCTGTGGTTACCTTCTCTGGAAGTGTTTTCTTAGGCTCCTGTAGATATTCTACCCACATGAAGCTTTTGCCTGAGCTACATTGGTCAGTGGATCAATCGGTCTCATCTTATAAAGACAGCTGGAGGATTAATAAACCTGCTTTCCCCTGCAGCAATGCATATGCATTTTCCCTCCAGTCTCAACTTTCTATAGTGCAGAAGGATTAGAAAGATGGGGGCGGGGGGGGGGGACACTGCTTGAAATAAGCTGTGATTTTAAATCAATACTTTGGCCTGGCATTGGATATAAATACAATAAATAAATAATAATGATAGCTGTTATTTTTCTCACAAGTGACACTAGAAGGTCCAGATAAAAATCTCCTACTGTGTGAACGGAGTGATTCTCACTAGAATTTCATTGCAAACTCAACACATTTGAGTTGATGCTCAGACCTAGTGAACGTGACTGCGTTTATATGAAATCTCGGATTTGTGTTCATTCAATCCAGGAATTAAGTTTCCACCACACTGGGGATTGGAATGCAGCGAGAAATCTTCAATAGAAAGATAATCTATTGCAGCATAGTGGGGCAGCTACAAAAACTTGCTTGCCCGGAATGTTCACCGACAGCAGTATTATATCTATGTGGCAGTCAATTCTCTGGCAGGTTTCAGATGTGTCATAGGCCAGTGGTCCAGCCTCGTATCTTGATATAATTGGAGCAGCTAAGCTGATATGTTATAAACTGTGTGCTGAGCCTATATCAGAATTCTGTTTTTTAAAAAACATGTGGCTTTTTCTTCCCATGATGAACACTGGAATTGCCTGTAGCTCTAGTTTAGCTGGTTTTGAAACTATTCATTACATATTCATGTGCGAATGAAAAGTCTAAGTTATTTTACAAGTGAAGAGAGCATGAAGCGAACATTGAGATTAAAGTGCTTTGGAAGCATAGCTTAATCTTTTTAAAAGTTTATGCTTATGAGATTTCCATATTGTAACCTGTATTCTATGATAAATATCTGAATTAAACTGAACCAACCAGATGAGCCTCAAGCTGGCCTTTTGATTAGACTCAAGTCAACTGATGGGTGGCCTCCTGGTTTTCATTATTTTGCTCACTTTCTTCTATAAGGCAAGGGAAAGGCTTATTATTGTACACTACTGTGCATTTACAAAGCTCGAAGGAACAAGTACATCCTAAGACTCCACTGGATGTAGTGGCTTCTAGACTTTCTTCTCCAGTTAACTTCTACCCTGATAACACACCCCTTCAAACATGTCTCATCCATCAGCCACCACACAATGTTAACATGGATGCCACAGCTCACTCCAGCCCCTGCTTGGCTCCCCACCACCCCAGTCTTTCAGTCATGACTTGATCCGCATGGATTCTTTGTTCACTCTTGATCCTGTTCCCACAGAATGGGATCAGATTTTATTCGTTTCCAATTCCACACACAAGCCACATGAAAACACCCATGCCATCTCTCACAGAAAGGCCGAGGAGCTGCCTCATGAATGACAGCACAATTAAAGCTAAAATAATAGAAAAATAATTTGAAAAAAAAAATCCCTTTTACTGTACACTCTCAAGTAAAGGAAGATAGGTGATAGTTTCTGCTAGCCAAAAATTGTGTTGCTATTGATTTGGGCTTTACAGCTCCCGTGTACCTCACACTTCTGTGTGTATGTGGCTATGTGTCTATAATCTAATTGTTTCTGCTAGTTTGCCTAATTATTAAACTACTTAACCAATTAGAATACTATTATATCACATTAACAACTTTACGTAATTGCGTCTTTGAAATATTAGGAACATCGACACATTTATTTGGCTTGTAGAGGACTGAAATATTACAGATAACATTGTCTAGCTCTTTTTTCTTTTCTTTCTTTCTTTTTTTGTTAAGAATATGGCTCTTAATACATTGACTTTCTGAGTTCCCAAGTGAAAGTCACCTTAAAATTTTTTGAAGCTTACTTGAAGCATAGAGGTTCTCTCTCTTCTGATTTGGTCAAATATATGTCAGGTGTTTGACAGCACTTAGAACTTAGGGTTTAATCTACGCAGGCCCTTTGTGGTCAGCTATTTCAACCTACTATGTTGAAGCTTCTCACTAAGCCAGCAGAGGGCACTTCTCACGCCTCAGCACTGCTTAAGGGTGCAAATGCAGAGGCTGCAGAAACACAGTGTTTACCCCATATCAGGCAGAGTCCTGCAGATCTGTTTTTGAAAGTCACAAAAACATAGAAAGCACGGACTGTGTCACAGGGCCTTATTTAGAAAGCCAGGATTATGTGTGAGGTCAAACAGGGAGGGAGGCGAACAGTCTGTATTAGATGAATCTTCAGCTCCGGTCTCTTCCTATCGTCCTTTCTCCCTACCAGCTCCAGCGGCGACGGGCTGGGTTTTGTTATAGATAGTACAAGATTCCATTTTCAAGCCAGCCAGTTGAGCTTCTTTCTTTTCAATTCTGCATTCTCCATCTTAAAGTTTGGGGTAACTGAACAATGGATGCTTCCTATCTCACCGAAGAGCAGAAATAACAGTTGTCAGTGTGATGCTTCAATTGCAGGGTTTGCTATAGGCCACCTTCTTGGGGTTTGGGCTGTATGGTTTTCTTTCTCCCAGAAATAAAGAATCACGGGGAAGTATTGTCCTCTGTTTGGTTGTAGCAAACACACCAGCCCAAGGCTGTGCAGTGAAGGGCAAAGTATCTACCTTGTTATTTTCAGTTGCAGTAAAAATAATTAAGACAACTTTTGTCAAGGAGTTACAAGCTAACCTTTCTTTTAAAGGCCTAGATTTTTGCAAAAGCATTGCTGTCCTAGATATAAACCCTGTCTCTTCCATGTTTATCTTTTCTACCAGCTCTGGTTTCATGTTGAAAAGATTGTGTCTGTGTCTGTATGTGTGCTCGTACAGTTTGAAAAGGGGAAACTCCTTTATCCTTAGAGAAAAAGCAAACCAAACAAGAATCTGAATAGATTCCCCCCAACCCCCTTCTTCCTGCAGTGGTTTGTTTGCTGTTCACTAATCTCTTTGCCCGTGGCTGCCTTGGTATCTAGTGTGTTCTAGAGTTGACAGGTCAGAGGGAAGGGGTCCCTCAGCAGCAGTGATTTGAGATGGAGTTGCGCTCAGCGAGTCCTCACCCAAAAAAGGATCATAAACTTACAACCTAATCATCACTCCCAAGCTGCCTTGGGCTTAGTGTCTGCTCATACGTATGTTTTGTCTTGTTTTAGCTGCACCATATGTGATTCCTTGTGCCATTTTCTTTTGTCTATTATTTTTCGTGATGACCCTGAGCTATGTCTTCCTCCTCAGTTCTGACACTACTCAGCCTTCGTCGCTTTCTTCACTTTGCCGATGTAGGCCTCAAAGAAGAAATGGCAGAAGAGCACAAGGTAGCTGAGGTACATGAGCGAGGACCAGAAGATGTTCTGAAAGTGGGAGTAGCACTGGTCGTTGTCATGCTGCATCCAGTTGAAGACCAGGTAGTTAATGACACAGCCCATCAGCATCTGCGTGATCTGGGACAAGGTGATGAACATGGCAAACTTCCGGGAGACTCGGAAACCTGCAGCCCGCAAGGCATAGTAAGAGTACATAACGGCGTGTACGCCATAGTTCATAGTCATGAACCAACCACCCCCAGCTACCATGTCTTTGTAGGAGTACCAAGAGTAGAGGAGCACAGTGATGTGGTGGTACCAGTGCAGGAAGATTAGCTTCTGCTTCCTCAGAATGATGAATATCGTGTCACCTGGAAGACAAAGAACGGAACAAAGCCACATGAGTGAGGACTAAGGCTGACTCTAAGGAGTAGAGTAGACATTTTAAACAAGCAAGATGGGCTACTCTTCAAGATCGTCAACAGAACATTGTACCAGCTTCTGATCTGAAATAGACATCACCAACCAGATTCAATTATTCATAACAGGAAAAATGACCAGAAGGGGGACAGGTGACTGGTCTCAGAGCAAGTACGATCAGGTGGCAGACTGAAGTACAAACTCAAGTGCCCAACAAAACACTCCAAGACTTCATGACAGACAAACGAAACCAGTACAACCCTAGGCTACCCCTCACATACTTGGTGGGATGGCCTAGAGTTCTTGGTATAGACAAAGTCAACTAACGCTGGGTCTTGGGAAGCTTCAAGGTTCTGATGGCTGAGGTGACAATCAGTACAGGTAGTCCCTGTTGCATTTGCCAAGAACTATTTAATAACTTTAAACTTGTTTAGAATGGAAAGACAAGCTGCCAGTGGTTACATTTATAAGCCTATTATAAAATTTCCATTGAAATCCTCTGATCTCTAGTGAGATGCTGATTTTTATTATGCCTATAATGACAGAAATGACAGAAGGCAATGGCCACTCTCATGTGTACACTTAAGGGCCAAACTCTCCTTGCTAATAATCTATACCGCTCTATGCCTTCCCCCTCTGGACTATAATGTAGACACAACACTTCTACATTCCTTTGTTAGTGGAAAGAAGGTGAAAGTCTAAGAAATCTCATGTTCAAAACGAATTTAGTCAGTTCTAATCAAGATGGGTTTTAATGAGTCTCTTAACAGTTGACCTGCAGCACTGAAGTACTCTGTGCTTTCTCCTGTCATGTCTGCTGGAGTGTCTCAGGAGACCTGATTACTTTGGGGGGAGAACAATCTGTCATAAAATCTTGAAAACAATATCCATCTAAATTTACACTGAGTCTTTTTCAGAACTCATGCTCAGGATGGTATTAGCTGAGAATAACTATCTCTCTTTAATGATTCTCAGCAACACTACTCAAAGCCCCATCAAAGTTACTGTCCTCAGCAAGGGTGGATTACCACAATATAAACATACTACCTGGAGGTTCCAGAAGGTCCAACCATGACTCCATGGACTTTGCTATTACCATTTAGTTGCATAGCCTTGCCTTCTGATGCAAATATAGTTCTTCTGATGAAACAGTCTAGAATCGTTTTCCATTTTCCTGAGTCATGTCAAACCATGGAGTTTGTAGGTATGGCAGAAGCTATAGAGGAACTAAGAAATACATGATACCCCAAAGACTGTGACGGGCTTGATGTTGGCCAGTCAATTTTTCTTGAGCATATATGCCTTGGTATGTAATTGGTGCTGGGCAAGTATAAACAAAGGGCTTTGATTTCTTGAAGGTGTCTGCTTTGTCATTTATCTTTGTTACCTCTGACTAATGAGCCTGTTTATGGTGAGTCCTACAACCCTTGGCCCAGTTTATTTTCAGTCAAGAGATAGCTAGCAGACAAGACATGGTGTTTCTTGTACCCAAGATCTCTATGTGCCTATGGAGAAGTCAACAGCATTTCTCCTCCCTAGGCAGTCACAACCACCAAGAGATGTGTTGATCCAACTCTGTATACATGGCTTCTCAGATAGCTAAGCTCCTCTATGAAGAGTTAGTTAGCTGAAGGGCTGCTGAGTCGGCACTTCAAAACAACAATAAGCTCAAGTGAGCAAGGGCCTAGACTCAGTGCAGATGTTTCCAAGTTTTGTTTCCAACAAAAGCAAATCTAAGCAGGCTTTAATAGAATACAAACGGTAGACACCAGCCACAGGGCAGGAAAAGTAGAAGACCAGCCCTTTTGCTCTCACTAGTAGAGTGAAGTCCTTTAACTCCATTGAAACAAATTTACCATTTCCACTGGGAAACCCTTATTGCCATCATTAAGAGTTTAGTGATGAGGAGTCAGTGGGGAGTGAGTTCAGTTTCAGCAGGGGGTGGGGGAGGGGTTGGGGGTTAGATACAAAAGTTCCAGAAATGGACGGTGTTATGGTTATACTGCAATGTGAATATTATGCTTGCTTAACCCCCAGGGCAAAAAAAGAGACTAGTGAAAAACTATAGGTATGTGTTTTGGGGGGAATAGAAATAGTTTTACACTAAAAAAAAATAGTTTCACAGTTGTACTATATGGGTGTGTGTGTGTGTGTGCACGTGTGTGTACCTTTCTCTTTGGTATTCATAAAGGACTCCATAATTCTTAGAACATACAAAGGCAGAGAAGACAGAAGACAGGATCTAAAAATAAGAAAACTTAATTAAAAGTAATTCCAATGAATAAACTTTTCTTACCAAATCATAGTGGTAAGACTTACTGATTGCAAAAGACTAGGAGTTAATTTAACCTTCAAAACATAGGCAAACACTCCGTAAGTGCCAACCGTTTGGATTTTTGGACCTGTGACACTCAGCAGCTGACCCCAGAGACACTGTTACACAAGCTGGACGGCATTTGGAGGCCACTGTTCCATACTGTTAAATTAGGAAAGTGTAGTCAGCTCTTAAAATACTTCCATGAAGGATTTCAACTTCCATGATGGTCCATGAAGGATCCTCCGTAGAGAGCAGTATCTGTTAGAGCTTCTATGCTAGTCATGGTGAACAACCTCAACAAGAAATTCGAGGACCTGAGTTGGAATTCTCAGAACTCATAAAAAAGCTGGATATGTAGAGCGAGTGTCTAAGAGAGGAGGGAGAGACAGGCCTGGGGCCAACGAGCATGGTGGATACTGTAGAAAAACACTGGAAATGGATCCATCTGCCTCTGCCTCCTACGCCCACATCCCCCACACAAATGTGTACAAACACACACCCACAGTCACACAAAATCTCCTGGGGCTTGATCTGTAGTTACCATACTGTAAAATTCTGGGTAAAGAAGCTTTACATTCTAACCATAGGTGCTTATATAAATTCACTGACTGGCTGAATCTCTCTCAGTGCATCTTACTCTCAATTTGTGCTCGTGGCGCTACATGTGTCGTATGTGCCTACCATGTGTACACACACTATTGTTTATGCATTCAATCCGGATCATGCAGAGACCTGCGTTCATATTCTGATCCTCATAGGAAAGGTTTTTCGGTAGAGCTTCAGTGACTTCCTTAGTCTTTGACCTAGGACCATCAATCCAACTGCCGGCTACTCGTCACAGGCTGAGACCACATTGTGACGTGTGGCTCAGCTGTTCCAACACGTCAGAGAGAACTTGTATCTATACATGGATGTGTGACCACAAACTGTGAGACACTTACAAAACACCAGTGTCAGAACAAGTCTCCTGATAAACCTACACCCTCTCATCTCTGATTAAAGGAGACAAAAACAAAACAAAACAAAACAAAACAAAACACATTTGTACGTTATAATTCCACAATTCAATTCCACTAGAGCTATATAATTATTAATCTTGAATTAAAAATATTAGGAATCCCAGATAGAAGGGTGACCTGTCTTCCTCTGGAAGACACAAGTTTGTGAGCTAGTGGACGCTATTCAGATTCACTCAGAGCCCACCTTCACCAGTGGATTTCTTACTCTGGCAAGAAGGACACATTTCCAGAAAACCGTTCTCATAACAGGTCACTGACATAACTTGTCGACGCTTCAGAAAACCTATGCCACCCTTACTTTCGAGACCACCAAAGGGTGAAGAGAATCTGTAAGCAGAGTAAGAATTTCCACTCATCTCTAGCAGGCATCCTACATTCACTTTCCCCAGGGCCAGACTCAGGGGTGAATAAAACCAAGCAGCAGAAGTCAAGAGTTAGCTCAGTTAATGAGAACATAAGCCCCAAAAGCAAAGTTTGAGTTCCCAGTCTGAATCTCGACGGCAGAGATAAGTGGTTGCTTATCTCCGTGACTTGTGGCGCTGTTCGTCTTTTTCTTTGATTTTAACGTCAGCTCAGCTGTTCATGGGCCTTAGAGAAGAGACTGTGTGTTATTTTATAAATCCCTAAGAGTGGCCTATTTTTAGTATTGCCCTTTTCTCATTAATATACATCATACACAGTGACTTAAAGAAGGAGGGAACAGAGGGATAGGAGAGAGTAGGGCAAATTTTTAAAGTCCAGGCATTTCGGCTTCTCAACCACCAGCAAAGACAGACCTACACACTGTGTGTTTCTTTGTTCATTCTTAGTAAGTCCTGTGTATGTGAAGTTGCAATGGGGGATGGGGGTGGGTGGAAAGGGAAACAGACACTCACCTAGTTCGGGTGCTTTGCTGAGCACAAATGCATAAGCCCAGAATTTGCTGACAGGTCCATTGTAAAAACTCTGGTCACAAACTGACTGCTTCAGGCCTTTGGTCATCAAAATGTACAGCATGTAAGCACCAGTTCGAAGAGCACCGAATATACTTCCGAAAGGAAGAGAAAAGAGAAAACAATAGTCAGGGGACCAATTTCATCTTTGACATTAACCTTTGTCACTGTCTGAGTATGAATTAACCCCCATAAGCTCATTCATTTGGACACCCTGTCCCCAGCTGGTGCTCTGTTCTAGAAGGGTCTGGAACCTTTACAAGGTATAACTAATACAACCATACTTAGAAGGCAGGTTGGCCACTGGACATAGTAGGCAGAGACGATGCCTTGTAGTACCCAGTTACCTGGGTGCGTCTTCAATCACTCTGTAAAGGAGCTAGCACAATTCTTGGTACTTTGTTTTGAAGACTGTTTGCTTTTCCTCTTGTGTTCCACAATAAGGTCATGGAAACAAGACTCAGTCCTCACCAGGCTCTGTGGAACTATTTCCTCCTGGGAACTATTTCACAGACAGGAGACAGAATAGCTGTACACCCTTGGCATTACCTCAGTTCTACCTGCATCCCGTCACTTTCCAGGTACCATTGGCTCTCATCCCTGAAAGTCTGTTAGCATCTTTAAGCTAACTCTCGCTTCACATCTGGACCAGATGCCTTGACTCCTGCAGCAGGATCTAAGCTGCTGGTCCTGGCCATGTCTTTTTGCTCTGTGATCATCTGTGTCTGCATCAGGAGTACCTTCTAGACTTAGCTCTACTTCTAGCCTACGATGAGTTCCATTCACCCTAGAAGAGCTAAGTATCCATCCAACTGTGTACACAAACTACCAACACTGTTCGTTTGATATGTTTGCCTCCAGATAGTCACAGATGTTCCATAAAAACGTCAAAGAGGGGAAAAGCTTATTGACAATATAAACACAAAACAAACAAAACCCCTTTCCAACCAGGACCTGATAAGGAAACAGGAGCACTCTGGAACACATTGATGTAAAAATAATGTAACTGGAAACATGAAAGCACTTGGCAATTAGAGCAAGGAGATGTCATTGTGAGCGAACCCTTTAGGTGTGTGACCCAGGATGGAATCTACAGTCTCTGTGCAAAGAGAGATGGCAGGCCCCACAGAGAGATGTGTCAGCCTTCCCTTCTTCTCTTCACAGGATACCACAGTCTTCCAACAGTCAGTTCGAGCTAGGTGAATGATCCACTGTGGGACGAACTGGGATCCTCACCAGATTGGGGAATGGAGTTTTCCAAGAAGAGATAGAGAAATACTTTTTCTGTGTCAGTTACAAGTCACTCGGCTAATCAGACCATGAACTTTTTGTCCACTACATACATAGAACTGAAAGTTGACTTTGCTGAGACCTAAGGAAATGAAATTGACTTCCTGATTACTGTCTAAATCGGGACTGGAAGCAGCGTCTCTAAGGATAGTGTCCCTAATTTCAATAGATACTGCCACTTTTTGGTTATTGATACAATTTATCCTTCAGTGGCTCGCTGCACCTAGACCCCCCCCCCCATTCCTGACCAGGAATCACAGGATTCTGAACGGCTTCTTTACTGGTCACCTTTGCCTCCTTATATTCTGCTCAGTGTGCCAGCACTGCTGGGCACGTCCTGTTCTCTGCCTCAGGGCTTTTTGAGTACTCTTCCCTCTGGAAGCTTATTGGTATTCACCCCAAGGCTGGTTCTTTGTCCTTTTCAAGTCTCGAACAGGTATTATCTCCTGGTGAGGATGCCTCCATATCTAGAGTCTACAGCCCTAATGTAGAGGAAGTGGTCTGGACTTCATTGGACAAGTTGCACAATGGAAAATTTCATTCTTAACTTGACTCTCCCCTTGCTTCCCAAGATGATGGCTCAACTTTAATATGAAAGGTTCCAACTTCTCCAAATTAAGGTTTTACATTTTAGATACTCTGCTGCTTTGGAAGAAACACAGATGTGCCATCCAATGGCTGTCTGTCTGTCTGTCTGAGAAAGAGTAAAGTAATCCCCCACTCCCACACTAAGAGTCCTCTGTTCAGGGTATCCCAGTATCTTATTCTTCTAAGAAAATCAAACACCTTATGTACAGTTTAGGAGCAATCTTGAGTATATAAACTAGTTTTAGCATGCCCATTTTCCTTAGGACAGATTTGTTAGAGTCCATGTGGCCAGTTCTAGCCAATGTGGTGGGATGGGAAAGGTTTCTTTGCTCTCTAACGCACATTGTTTCAGCAGGCATTTTGCAGCTCTAAGGACAAAGTCAAGCCAGGATAGCAAAACACCTGGTCTGGAGGTGGCTGAGGTGGTGAGTGAAATTATGTTCCAGTTACCCTGGCTCAAGACTTCTTGAATTTCAGAAATCAATCTTCTGAACTGTATAAGCCATTTGGAAATGTTCTTCCTATTTCTGGCAACCCAAAGCCTTAGGTCAATCCAGCACATGGATGTGATTTTCAATTGACTTGTTTTTTTAACACTCTGTGCGGAAATCACCTTTGTGGTTCAAAAGTGCAGGTAGTCATTGGTACTGCTGGGACAGCACATAACGTACGTATGATGCTTATCCCGTATCATGTACCAGTAGAGGAGCTATCAATGACTTCTGCTAATTCTAAAGCAAGGAAACCTATGTGATACTCTTCAAAACACATTGGCTACCTCTGGGACTTTTCTGTATAAGTAAATCATAACCTTCCACATCATACCCAGCCTATACATACCCGAAACCCACGTGGCCCAGAGAGGTTTCTCTACTGTATTGCTCCCAGATTGACTGCAAGTAGGTAGAGCAGATCCAAAAACAATCTTCCAAACCTGGGAAGTCACTGTAATTTACTACTATTTTTTAATTGTTAATAATTAAACTTATTCCCTCAGTTGCTAACTGTTTAGCACAATGGTTTTGATGGCTCTGGAAGACTTCCCGTGTAGTGTGAGCCAATGTAGTGCGAGAGCGAGAATGGTTTCTTTGCTCTTAGTGTATATTGTCTGGAAGTGCAGCAGATATTTTGCTGGCATTTCAGTTGGGGGTAAATAGTTATTCACAGGGTTGAGGGTTGGAGCCTGGGTGTGGGGGAAGTCACTGGAGAGAATCTTTGACATCACGATGACCCACAATACTGCTATCAAGTATACAGCACAAATTATTGTCTCATATTTGGACATAAGCCTCAGTCCCTGAGCTCTGAACAATAAGGCTGCCTCAGAACTGAGGACAGTGGCACTTTTGAGGGACTATGTCAGTGCCAGCCATTGGGCCCATGTGTTCACGGGCAAAGGCGCATTGTTGGGCTTTGACAATGCTGTTGTTGGGGAGCGGCGTAGGGCTGCTCAGCCAGTGGGGTAACTATCATCTGTGGGAAGCCACCAGCTCTGCCTCTGCCACATCTCAGCCATGTGCACTTCGGATCAGGTGGCTCTTGTAACAGCATCGTTCTGTGTCGCATACTAAACTGCACTTTAAGGCGAGCCCTCTTTCATCTGTAAGTCACGTTACTTCTAGAGGCAGTGTGACAGACACAGCTGCACAGTTTTGATTCCGTGACCACACCTCTCTGGTAGGTTTGGCAGGCAGGTCCCTCACTGGGACACATCACAGGTCCTTTTTGTAAGGAAACACTCTATTCACATCCACACACAGCTGTAATTCAGGTCTTCTGAGCCCACAGAGAAGTTGATAGGAATCACTCATTCTCTTTACCCTCTTCCTAGAGAGGGTCTGGTGGCCTGCAGGGCTTGCTGTTGAGAGCCTCCCACTCAGTGGATAAGCAGGGATGGGGACAGAGGACAGGGGTGGTGGCTGGGGTGACTGGGAGAGGGGCAACTGGGCAGGGGATACTCTATACGTGGTTGGCCCAGACTCCCTGCTTTCTCATCCAGATTGTAAATCCCACATCTGCCAGCATTTCACAATCTATGTCAGCTAGCAAGTTCATAATTGGACAGACATGAGCATTTTTCCAATGAACATCTTGGAAGAGAGGTTGCTGGCAGGGAAAAGCAGCTCATTCTTGTGCATGGTTGCTTTAGTCAGCTGACAAAGACTGTTCTGAGAGGCAGGTGAGCTGAGTCTGGGCGACAGTGGGTAATGTGGCCAGATAACCGTCACCAGTAAGGTCTTTTCTGCTTGTAAAATCACTCTCATCCTGTACTTAGCTTTCTACTAGTTCTGAAGGCAGATGCTTTTTCTTGCAGAGTTTAATTTTGTTCTTTTAACAGTGATGAAAGAGCAGAGTGCTGTGGGAGGGAGCAGTGGATGTCCCTGCTCTTCTCTCAGCAACATAAGGCCTAACTGCAGTGAGGAGGTCAGCCAATTGCCCTGCTCAGCTAAGGTGCTATCATTGGCCTCCTGATTCAGGGCAAGGACATGTGTTTTGAATTTCCACAGGAGACACCAGGAATAGCTAGTAGATACTTAATTGGGAAGGAAACAGCCTACGGGCTGTCAAGAGAAATATGTTCTTTGTGCTCCAGGCCTATACATTCAATATTGCCCTTTTTTTTAAAATAAATAAATGTGTATTAGACTGACATTTTCACAACCTCTACTTAAATGGGTGGCTGCTCACTACTGGTAAACATACACAACAACAGAGGTGCTTGTGACGAGGCTTGCGTGACTGTTCGGTGTGAAGAAATATTAATATTAATAGTCATCACCCTGTGTATTAATCACAAACCAGCACTGAGAGTGTCAGAGAAAATCCTGATTCATTTACTGAGCCATCAACTATTTAACTAACAGCAAGGGTCAGATACTGAAGTTACGCATGTGGAGGGCAAAACCTCTGTAACATACTGTAGGTGACACAGATGTGAAGCGCGCGCGCACACACACACACACACACACACACACACACACACACACACAGGACAATTTCATTATGCAATCCTAAAAGTAACTGTACTTTTGGTGCAGACTTTGGGAGATGGATGGAGTAATTGTAACAAAATATATTTGTGCAATATAGATCCCTATCTATCTATCATCTATCTATCTATCTATCATCTATCCACCTCTCCACCTAGCCAAAAGTAATTGCACCAAAGTTACTTTCATAATAGGTGTCTGACATTTTGTCAGTTGTTAAAATGTGA